GGTTTTCCTTCTAGTCATTTTGCTCCGTGCAGAGTGGCCAAAAACAAGTTGTATTGGGAAAAGGAGAACAAGAGAGGAGAAAGAAGGAAAGAAAAAAGGAAGAAAAAAAGAAAAAAAAGAGAACAGAGAAAGAAAAGGAAAGAAAGGAAAATAAAAGGGTGGGGGAAGCAAACAGAAATCAAAAAGGAAAAAAAAAACACGGGGGACCATCTTATGATTCCGTATACTTTAAGTCCCTTGACTTCCCCTGGAACTTGTCCGTCTAGCTGGTCTTCTTTGCATTGGGCTTGTTGCGCTGATTTTCAGTTGTTAGCACTTCCGGGGTGGAGCTGCTCAGTCCCCTGCCTGGTGCAGGGCTCAGTGGGGGTTGTTTACCCTGTGAGGCCCCAGGAGGAACTACCACAGTGGCGGTGGCCAGCTCTAGACCCTGGATTCAGGGGATCCCTGGGTGGCGCAGCGGTCCTGGAGACCCGGGATCGAATCCCACGTCAGGCTCCCGGTGCATGAAGCCTGCTTCTCCCTCTGCCTGTGTCTCTGCCTCTCTCTCTCTCTCTCTCTGTGCGACTATCATAAATAAAAAAAAATAAAAATAAAAATATAAAAAAATAAAAACATAAAATAGAGCCCTGGATTCAGCTCCCGCAATAATATGGAGCTCTCCGACTGCAGGGGCCTGGATGCTCCAGGGGCAGGGCCGCTGATCTGCTCAGCTCGGGGCAGGAGCGTCCTTTCTGTCCTTGGCCCTCCTGAACTCTACCTGTCCCGGGGGGAGGCCAGATCCTGGGCTGTGTCCCTGATGCCCTGTGCTCCTGGGCCTGCGCGGTTGGATTCACAATCCGGGCCGCGCAGCACCCCTTCGCGGAGCCGCCGCCGAAGCTCCTCCGAGGTGCTCCGGGATCAATACGTGCGCGTGCTACAGTCCTTTAGGGAGCTCAGGGCACTTTCCCTGGTGTGCAGTTGCTCTGTTAGTGTCCCAGGGAGCCTGAGGGCATCCCTGCCCTTCCTGGGTTCCTGCTCTAACTCCCTGCTAGTGCCTTTCTGCCTGGGAAGATTGGTGAAGCTCCTGCTTCTCTGGGAAGGAGCTTTCCTGTCCTGGGGGCACTCGCCCCGGCCTTAGCCGGGCTCCTCGCGGGGCCCCTCCCCCTTGGATGCCTTTTGTTTCTTTTATTCTTTTTTCAACGTCTTTTTACCTTGATAGAAGCGCGACCTCTTCTCACTGTACCATTCCAGCTGTTCTCTCTTTAAATCTCAGGCCGAATTCATAGATTTTCAAGATGATTTGAAGGTTATCTAGGTAATTTGGTGGGGACAGGTGATTTGCAGACCCTAGTCTTCCGCCATTTTGCCCCTCCAATCTAAACTCATTCTTTACTCCTCTTCCCTCAATGTTTTAAGTATATGGTGTCACATATTACATCCTTAATTTTGTGAAGACTTTCGCACATTTTTGCAGGTATACTTAGTACTGGTTTTGTATTTCCTACTTTTCATACTCTATGGTTTTCCCACTCAGAGTCCCCTTTAACATTTCTTCTGGGGTTAGTTTAGTGGTCATAAGCTTCGATAAGTTTGTCTGAGAAACTCTTTATCACTCCTTTTATTCTGAATGATAGCTTTGGTGGATAGAATATTCATGGCTGTAGACAGAACTTTGAATATATCATGCTTCTTCCTTCTGGTCTGCAATGTTTCTGCTTTAAATCAGTGATATTCTTATGCAGTCTCCCTTTTATGTAACTGTCTACCTTTCTCTTGCTGTCTCTGAAATTCTGTTTAACTTTTCACCATTTTTATTACTATGTGTCTTGATGTGTACTCTCTTGGGTTGAAATTTTGGGGGAATTTCTGTGCCTCCTAAATCTGGATCTCTTTCTCTCTCCATATTCAGGTCGTTTTCAGCTATTTATTATTTCTTTAAGTACATATTTTGCCGACTGCCCTCTTCTCTCTTCTCTTTTGTGGGAACCTTATAATGATAATGTTATTACTCTTGATGCAGTCATTGAGTTCTCTCAGTCATTTCTGATTATGCAGTATCTGTCTTTCACCTGTTCACCTTGATTAGTTTCCATTAGTCTATCCTTCAGGTCACTTATAAGTTCCTCTTCTTCCTGTAGTCCACTATTTATTCCATCTATTGTATTTTATATGCCATTTATACAGCTCTTCATCTCTGATATGTTATTTTTTTTTATCTCTTTGTCAAAGGTCTTACTGATGTCTTCCACCCTTTCCTCAAGACCAGTGAGTATCTTTATGATCATTACTTTAAATTCTCTATCAGGCATATTACTTATATCTGTTTTACTTAGGTCTCTTGCTGTGGTTCTGTCTTGTTCTTTAATTTGGGACATATTCATCTGTCTCATTTCATCTAACTCTCTGTATGTGTTTCCGTGTGTTAGGAAGTCCCATATAGCTCCTGTTCTTGACGGTCATGGCGTTATGAAGATGTCTTATAGTGTCCTGAAGTACACATGCTCTGTTCCCCAGAACAAAGCATGTCATGGACTGTCACCTATATGTGTTGCATGTGCCCTGCTGTTGTGTCCTGTCCACTTTCTCCCTTATTCCAATCTTATACAGAGACTCTCTTTGCCTGCTGTGGTTAGTTAGTATTTGGTCTCAGAGTTGGGTGGAGTATTCAGTTTTAACAAGGTGCACTCTGGTCTGCTTGTGAAATGAGATCTGCTGTCACTCCCAGAACTTACGCCAGCCTGGGTTCATCCAAAACTGTATAAGGCTGGCACAGTGCACAATGTTATCTAGGGGCATGTCAGGCTTTTATATGACCTGCCACTGCTGCCACTGCCACTGCCACAAGGACCAAGGCCCCTTAAAACATGTGAGTTGGGAAACGTGGAGTTGACAAGGTCTGCACTGGTCTTCTGGTTAGAAGACTTGTAACACAATGAGGGAAAGGTGAGTGGGAAGAGCAGGTCCACCATAGTGTAAGGTACAGAGCTAGAAGTAAGCAAGGTAGTCATGGTTACCATCCACACTGGTTTCTGCTGGTGGCTGGGTGTTTATGCTGAGGAATCCAGGAGGAGATAGCATCTGCTAGCACTGTTTTTCCTGCACAAATCCATCAGCAATCCCTGTCTCTCCAGGACAGAGTCTAAGATCAGTAAATAACTGCCCTCATGTATTCTCCAGGTGTTTTTCAAACAGGTACTTCTAAGCTGGACCTCTACGGTCTGTTTATTTGTGCTCTGTAAGGGTGGGGACACAACTTCCTCTTGTCCTGCCTGCTCTCTTCCAAAGCCAATCCCACTGATTTTTTAAATTCTAGGCTTTAAGTCCCACTGGTTTTAAGAACCATGAAATTTGGTCTTCTTAATTTCAAAGACAAATGTTATGAGGATTCTTCTTCCCAGGCTCCTTTTCCCTTTTTTTTTTAAATTAGCAATGCATAACATTTATTTCCTTGACATTTCTCTTCCGAAGAGTTCACAGTGTTTCAGTGTCAGTTGAAACAGGGGAAGAATCTCAGGGAAGAATCCTTCACATAATTATAGGACCATTGATAATAATGTCTCTCAGTTCTTTCCAAATCTATAAAGATGCATTTCCTGATGAGTGACTGACCTCGGGGTCCAAGTGCCTGCTCCGCTGTGTCGGGTATACTTGGACACAAGCTCAAGCTTGTAAATAAACCCTCGTGTGTTTGCATCCTGGACATGGCCCCACGTCCCCCCGAAAACTCACCGCGGGTCCTGAGGAGCCTCCCCAATGTGATCGTCTATATCTTTTTTTCCCATTTATATAAATTTTTAAACCACAGGGTTTGTTTTGTTTTTTCTGTAATCTAGGGTAGAAAATCTGCTCCAAGTCTGTCAATGCTATACCTCAAAGGTACGGTTCACAGAACGAGGGGTGGGTTCTCATGGTTTCCCTATGTCTGTCTCTCCTGTCATCATCAATGTTGTCCTTTTATCCTTTATTGTGAAAAACTGTTCAGTCAGCCCTCATTTCTTTTGAAGGAATTACTCTATATTAAGGTAACAGTAAATCTCTGGAAATGAGTTCAGGGTCTTCCTATGTTGCATTATTAGATCCTGCTCAAATTTCCTCTTCTTTCAAACACGAACATATTTTGACACATTTTAAATTTTTTTTATCTAAATTCCACTTAGTTAACAGTATAATATTAATTTCAAGTATACAATACAGTGATTCAACACTTCCATACAACACCTGGTGCTCATCACAAGTACACTCCTTATTACCAATCACCTATGTAATCCATTCTCTCTAGTAACCATCAGTTTGTAATCTATAGTTAAGAGTCTGTTTCTTCGTTTGCCTCTTTTTCCCTTTCTTTTGTTTCTTAAATTACACATAAGAGTGAAATCATGTGGTATATGTCTTTATCTGATGGACTCATTTCACTTATCATAATATTCTAGGTCTACTTGATGTCATTCATTCATTTTTATGGCTGAGTAATATTCCACTGTGTGTCTGTGTATGTGTGTGAGTGTCACTTCATTATCCATTTGTAAGTCAACAGACACTTGAGGTATTTACATAATTTAAGTATTTTAGATAATACTGCTATAAAATTCAAGGAACACATATACATTTCAATTACTATTTTGTCTCCTTTGGGTAGATACCTAGTAGTGCCATTGCTGGAATGTATTGTATTGATATTTATAACATTTTGAGGAAACTCCATATTATTTTTCATAGCGGCTGCACCAGTTTGCATTCCCAACAAGAATACAAGACAGTTGTCCTTCCTCCACATCCTTGCCAAGACCTGTTGTTTCCTGTGATGCTGATTTTAGCCATTCTGACTGGTATGAGGTGCTATCTCATGGTAATTTTTTTAGTATTTTTTTAAAAAAATTATTTTTTATTGATGTTCAATTTGCCAACATATACAATAACACCCAGTGCTCATCCCATCAAGTGCCCACCTCAGTGCCCATCACCCAGTCACGCCCACCCCCCACCCACTTCCCCTTCCACCACCCCTAGTTCATTTCCCACAGTTAGGAGTCTCTCATGTTCTGTCTCCCTTTCTGATATTCCCCACACATTTTTTCTCCCTTCCCTTATATTCCCTTTCACTATTATTCATATTCCCCAAATGAATGAGAACATACACTGTTTGTCCTTCTCCGATTGACTTACTTCACTCAGCATAATACCCTCCAGTTCCATCCATGTTGAAGCAAATGGTGGGTATTTGTCCTTTCTAATGGCTGAGTAATATTGCATTGTATACATATACCACATCTTCTTTATCCATTCATCTTTCGATGGGCACCGAGGCTCCTTCCACAGTTTGGCTATTGTGGACATGGCTGCTAGAAACATCGGGGTGCAGGTGTCCTGGAGTTTCACTGCATCTGTATCTTTGGGGTAAATCCCTAACAGTGCAATTGCTGGGTCGTAGGGCAAGTCTATTTTAACTCTTTGAGGAACCTCCACATAGTATTCCAGAGTGGCTGCACCAGTTCACATTCCCACCAACAGTGCAAGAGGGTTCCCCTATCTACACATCCTCTCCAACATTTGTGGTTTCCTGCCTTGCTATTTTTCCCCATTCTCACTGGGGTGAGGTGGTATCTCATTGTGGTTTTGATTTGTATTTCCCTGATGGCAAGTGATGCGGAGCATTTTCTCATGTGCTTCTTGGTCATGTCTATGTCTTCCTCTGTGAGATTTCTGTTCATGTCTTCTGCCCATTTCATGATTGGATTGTTTGTTTCTTTGGTGTTGAGTTTAATAAGTTCTTTATAAATCTTGGAAACTAGCCCTTTATCTGATACGTCATTTGCAAATATCTTCTCCCATTCTGTAGGTTGTGTTTTAGTTTTGTTGACTGTATCCTTGGTTGTGCAAAAGCTTCTTATCTTGATAAAGTCCCAATACTTCATTTTTGCTTTTGTTTCTATTGCCTTCATGGATGTATCTTGCAAGAAGTTACTGTGGCTGAGTTCAGAAAGGGTGTTACCTGTGTTCTCCTCTAGATGTAACTGAATACACATTCTTCTCGAGTGCACACGGAACTTTCTCCAGAATATACCACATACTGGGTCGCAAATCAGGTCTGAACCGATACCAAAAGATTGGGATCGTCCCCTGCATATTCTCAGACCATAATGCCTTGAAACTAGAACTAAATCACAAAAAGTTTGGAAGGATTTCAAGCACGTGGAGGTTAAGGACCATCCTGCTAAAAGATGAAAGGGTCAACCAGGAAATTAAGGAAGAATTAAAAAGATTCATGGAAACTAATGAGAATGAAGATACAACCGTTCAAAATCTTTGGGATGCAGCAAAAGCAGTCCTGAGGGGGAAATACATCGCAATACAAGCAGCCATCCAAAAACTGGAAAGAACTCAAATACAAAAGCTAACCTTACACCTAAAGGAGCTAGAGAAAAAACAGCAAAGAGATCCTACACCCAGCAGAAGAAGAGAGTTAATAAAGATTCGAGCAGAACTCAACGAAATCGAGACCAGAAGAACTGTGGAACAGATTAACAAAACCAAGAGATGGTTCTTTGAAAGAATTAATAAGATAGATAAACCCTCAGCCAGCCTTATTAAAAAGAAGAGAAAGAAGACTCAAATTAATAAAATCATGAATGAGAAAGGAGAGATCACTACCAACACCAAGGAAATACAAACGAATTTAAAAACATATTATGAACAGCTATATGCCAATAAATTAGGCAATCTAGAAGAAATCGATGCATTTCTAGAAAACCACAAACTACCAAAACTGGAACTGGAAAAAATAGAAAACCTGAACAGGCCAATAACCAGGGAGGAAATTGAAGCAGTCATCAAAAACCTCCCAAGACACAAAAGTCCAGGGCCCGATGGCTTCCCAGGGGAATTCTATCAAATGTTTAAAGAAGAAACCATACCTAATGTGCCCGCTTTCAAGATGGCGGCGGCAGCGTTGGCCTTGTCCGGCGTCCTCGGCCGGGTGGGCTGGAGGCTCCTGCAGCTACGGTGCCTGCCCGTGTCCCGTTGCCAGTCAGCTGTGGTGTCACGTGCCTTCCATGCTTCCACTATGCAGCTAAAGTCTTCAGATGAGCAGAAGCAACAGCGTCCCCAATCTTTTTCTCAGCAACAGTCCGAAACACATGAGGCAGAAGAACCCAATCCAGAATCTTCTCGTTCACCCCCCAGGTACACAGATCAGGGCGGTGAGGAGGAAGAGGACCATGAGAGTGAGGAGCAGTTGCAGCACCGCATCCTGACCGCAGCCCTGGATTTCGTGCCTGACCACGGGTGGACAGCAGAGGCAATTGCAGAAGGAGCCCAGTCTCTGGGTCTGTCCAGTGCAGCAGCCAGCATGTTTGGGAATAATGGCAGTGAACTGATACTGCATTTTGTGACCCAGTGCAATGCTCGACTCACTCATGGGCTTGAAGAGGAGTAGAAGCTGGTCCAGCTGGGCCAGGCAGAGAAGAGGAAGACAGACCATTTCCTGAGGGATGCAGTGGAAACCAGACTGAGAATGCTGATCCTGTACATTGAGCACTGGCCCCGGGCCCTCAGCATCCTCATGCTCCCTCACAACATCCCATCCAGCCTAAGCCTGATCACCAGTATGGTGGATGACATGTGGCATTATGCTGGGGACCAGTCCACGGACTTTAACTGGTACACCCGCCGAGCCGTGCTGGCTGGCATCTACAACACGACAGAGCTGGTGATGATGCAGGACTCGTCCCCAGACTTCGAGGACACTTGGCGCTTCCTGGAAAACTGGATTAATGATGCAATGAACATGGGCCACACTGCCAAGCAGGTAAAGTCCACTGGGGAGGCACTGGTGCAGGGACTTATGGGTGCAGCAGTGATGCTCAAGAATCTGACAGGTCAAACCAGCGCCGGTGAGCGGGACAGCGTGTGAGCTAGAGTGCCCAGAAGAAAAGCTACAGATATATTGAAAGGGCTTTGAAAACTATGAAGTGCCGTCCATGGAACAGGGTGTTAATGGGAAAACACTGAAGGACTCCTTAGTCACTCTGACAGCCACCTAGAAACCACAGAGCACTTGATACACCTACAGCTGTAGCCTATAATCAGGCTACTTCTTTAGTTCCAAGTGCTAGGCCAAGCCTCCTGATGCTTCTCTTCATTGCAGCTGGGTGACTGAAAAATGAGGCTCTCATCCATTCAAGCCACAGAAACCCAGCACATCTGTATCGTGATCTCACAGATACTTTGATCATGTCTTAACCTTCCTAGAGTGTTCTCTGGGGCTCCCAAATCGGAGTCAGGGTGTGAAGCCATTACAAGGTGGCAGCCCATCCCTAGCACGGCACAGGCTTGTGCACACAGGTGTTCCTCACACCCCCTCTCCTCTCTGGCGTCCTGAGATGCTGCACCTGGGAACCCCTTAAAAAGCTGCCTCACCTAAGACCAGTGCCTCCGGGCAGTGGTACTCAGCCTGGCTAGAGGTGGGAACCCAGGCCTGTTTTTGTATTACACGAGTATGTGTGGCAGGATTATAAATGAACTTAAGAATCTGAAAAAATAGTAATAAATATGTTGGAAGCAAAAAAAAAAAAAAAAAAGAAACCATACCTAAGCTACTAAAGCTGTTCAGAAAGATAGAAAGAGATGGAGTACTTCCAAATTCATTCTATGAGGCCAGCATCACCTTAATTCGAAAACCAAAGACCCCACCAAAAAGGAGAATTACAGACCAATATGCCTGATGAACATGGATGTAAAAATTCTCTGTAAGATACTAGCCAATAGAATACAACAATACATTAAGAAGATTATTCACCATGACCAAGTAGGATTTATCCCCGGGATGCAGGGCTGGTTCAACATTCGTAAAACAATCAATGTGATTCATCATATCAGCAAGAGGAAAAACAAGAACCTTATGATCCTCTCAATAGATGCAGAGAAAGCATTTGACAAAATACAGCATCCATTCCTGATCAAAACTCTTCAGAGTGCAAGGATAGAGGGAACATTCCTCAGCATCTTAAAAGCCATCTTGAAAAGCCCACAGCAAATATCATTCTCGACGGGGAAGCACTGGCAGCCTTTCCCCTAAGATCAGGAACAAGACAGTGATGTCCACTCTCACCACTGCTATTCAACACAGTACTAGAAGTCGTAGCCTGAGCAATCAGACAACAAAAAGACATTAAAGGCATTCAAATTGGCAAAGAAGAAGTCAAACTCTCCCTCTTCGCTGATGGCATGATATTCTACATAGAAAACCCAAAAGACTCCACCCGAAGATTGCTAGAACTCATACGGCAATTTGGCAGTGTGGCAGGATACAAAATCAATGCCCAGAAGTCAGTAGCATTTCTCTACACTAACAATGAGACTGAAGAAAGAGAAATTAAGGAGTCAATCCCATTGACAATTGCACCCAAAAGCACAAGATACCTAAGAATAAACCTCATCGTAGTTTTGACTTGAATTTCCCTGATGATGATTGATGTTAAGCATCTTTTCATGTGTCTGGTGGTTACCTATATATCTTGTTTGGAAAAAGAGTGTTGATATCTTCTGCCAATATTTTAATAAGAATTATTCTTTGTCGAGTTGTAGAACTTCTTTATATATTTTGGATACAAACCCTTTATTAGATATGTCATTTTCAAATATTTTTCTCCCATTTTGAAGATTGCCTTTTAGTTTTCCTGATTGTCTACTTCACTGTACAAAAGCTTTCTATTTTGATGAAATCCCAATAATTTATTTTTGTTTTGTTTCCCTTACCTCAAGAAACATATATAGGAAGAAGTTGCTACAGCAATTGGTAAAGAGGTTACTCTATAGTTTCTCTTCTAGGATTTTAATGGTTTCCATATCACATTTAGGTACTTTATCCATTTTGAATTTATGCTTGGGTATGGTGTAACAAATTTTCATTCTTTTGAATGTTGTGGTCCAATTTTCTTTTTTTTTATTTTTTTAACTTAATTTAAACCCAATTAATTAACGTATAGTATATTATACTTTCAGAGGAAGCATTCAGGGATTCACCAGTTGGAGATAACACTAGTGCTCATGACTTCCCGTGCCCTCCTTCATGCCTGTCCCCTGTTATTCCCTCCCCCTTCCCCTCCCCTCCAGCGACCCTCAGTTTGTTTCCTATGATTAAGAGTCTGTATTTCCTGCCTCTGTTTTCATCTTATTTGTTTTTCCTTCCCTTCACAGATGTCCATCTGCTTTGCTTCTTTAATTCCACCTATAAATGACACCACACGGTCATTCTCTTTCCTGCCTGACTTATTTCACTTAACACGATCCCTCTAGTTCTATCCACGTCATTGCAAATGGCAAGATTTCCTTCTCTTTGATAGCTGAGTACCATTCCTATCATCTATCTATCTATCATCTATGACCATCATCTATCTCCCATCCTCTTTATCCATCATCTGCCCGAGGGCACCGAGGCTCCTCCCGCAGTGTGGCTACTGTGGACCCGGCTGCTGTGCACATTTGGGGTGCAGGTGTCCCGAGTGTCACTGCATCTGTATCTTGGGAGTGAGCTCCAGGCCGTGCACCTGCCGGTCGCAGGGCGGCTCTATTTAAAACTTCCTGAGGAGCCTCCACACTGTGAAAACAGTTTTCTGATGAGACTTATTTGCACATTGGATATTCTTTCCTGCTTTGTTGAAGATTAATTAACCATATGGGTTGTAGGTTCATTTCTTGGACTTCGATTCTGTTCCATTGATCTACGTGTATATTTTTGTGCCAGTTCCATGCTGTTTTGATCACTACTCCTCTGTAAGAGAAATTGAATTTTGGATTTGTGATGCCTCTAGCTTTGCTTTTTTTCTTTTTCAAGGTTCCTTTGGCTATTCAAGGATTTTTGCAGTTCCATACAAATTTCACGATTGTTTTTCTAGCTCTGTAAAAAACTGTGCTGGTATTTTGATAGAGAGTACACGAAATGTGTAGGTTGCTTTGCAGACATTTTTTTTAAAGGTTTATTTTTTTTATAATTTTTTTTAAATTTTTTTATTTATTTATGATAGTCACACACAGAGAGAGAGAGAGGCGCAGAGACACAGGCAGAGGGAGAAGCAGGCTCCATGCACCAGGAGCCTGACGTGGGATTCGATCCCGGGTCTCCAGGATCGCGCCCTGGGCCAAAGGCAGGCGCCAAACCGCTGCGCCACCCAGGGATCCCTAATTTTTTTTTTTTTATTTACGATAGTCATACAGAGAGAGAGAGAGAGAGGCAGAGACACAGGCAGAGGGAGAAGCAGGCTCCATGCACCGGGAGCCTGACGTGGGATTCGATCCCGGGTCTCCAGGATCGCGCCCTGGGCCAAAGGCAGGCGCCAAACCGCTGCGCCACCCAGGGATCCCGCTTTGCAGACATTTTAACAATATTTGCTCTTCTAATCCATAACTTGGACTTTCTGTTTTTGTGTGTCTTCAATTTTTTCATTAGTTTCTTAAAGCTTTTTTTAATTTTACTTATTTATGATAGTAATCACAGAGAGAGAGAGGGGCAGAGACATAGGCAGAGGGAGAAGCAGGCTCCATGCAGGGAGCCTGACGTGGGATTCGATCCTGGGTCTCCAGGATCGCGCCCTGGGCCAAAGGCAGATGCTAAACCGCTGCGCCACCCAGGGATCCCAGTTTCTTAAAGTTTTAAGAATAATGGTCTCTTACGTCTTTGGTTAGGTTTATGCCTAGGTGTCTCACTGTTTCTGGTGCTATTATAAGTGGGATTCAACCTTGATTTCTCTTTCTGTTGTTTCATTATTGGTGTATGAAAAATGCAGATTTTTGTATGTTGATTTTGTGTCCTGTAACTTTACTAAATTCAGTTATCACTTCAAGCAGTTTTTTGGTAGTGCCATGTTTTTTTTAATAATAAATTTATTTTGTATTGGTGTTCAATTTGCCAACATACAGAATAACACCCAGTGCTCATCCTGTCAAGTGCCCGACTCAGTGCCCATCACCCATTCACCCCCACCCCCCGCCCTCCTCCCTTTCCACCACCCCTAGTTCATTTCCCAGAGTTAGGAGTCTTCATGTTCTGTCTCCCTTTCTGATATTTCCTACCCATTTCTTCTTCCTTCCCTTCTATTCCCTTTCACTATTATTTATATTCCCCCAAATGAATGATAACATATAATGTTCGTCCTTCTCTGATTGACTTATTTCACTCAGCATAATACCCTCCAGTTCCATCCACGTTGAAGCAAATGGTGGGTATTTGTCCTTTCTAATGGCTGAGTAATATTCCATTGTATACATAAACCACATCTTCTTTATCCATTCATCTTTCGATGGACACTGAGGCTCCTTCCAGTTTGAGTGCCAGGTTTTCTATATAGAGAATCATCTCCTCTGAAAATAGTGAAAGTTTTACTTCTTCCTTGCAAATTTGGATTTTTTTGGTGGGGTCTGGTTACTATGGCTAGGACTTCAAATGCTATGTTAAATAAAAGTGGTAAGAGTGAACATCAATGTCTTGTTTCTGGCCATAGAGGAAAAGCTCTCATTTTTTTGCTCACTGAGGATCATATTAGTTATGAGTATTTTGTATATGGCCGTTATGATGCTGAGGTATGTTCCCTCTATCCCTACTTTGTTGATAGTTTTTATCATGAATGGATGTTGTACTTTGTGAAATAATTTTTCTGCATCTATTGAAATTATCATGATTTTTGCCCTTTCTTTTATTAATATGGTATAGCATAATGATTGATTTTTGAATATTGAAACACTCTTGCAGCCCAGGTATAAATGCCACTAAATTGTGATGATGATTCTTTTAATGTACTGCTGGATTCAATTTACTAATAATTTATTGAGAATTTTTGCATCCATATTCATCAACGGTATTGGCCTATAATTCCCTTTTTTTAGTTGAGAATGCCTGGTTTTGTTACCAGTGTAATACTGGCCTCACAAAATGAAATTGGAAGTTATACTTCAATTTCTATTTTTTGCAATAGTTTGAGAAATATAGGTATTAACTCCTCTGTTAATGTTTTCTTGAATTTACCTGTGAAGCCATCTGGTACTGGACTTTTGTTTTTTGATTGCTGATTGAATTTCTTTGCTGGTTATCAGTCGTTTCAACTTTTCAATTTCTTCTTGTTTCAGTTTTAGTAGTTTACATGTTTCTAGGAATTTATCCATTTTTTTAGGGTGTCCAATTTGTTGGCATATAGTTTCTCATTATATTCTCTTCATAATTGTATGTATTTCTGTGGTGTTGCTTGTTATTTCTCCTCTCTCATTTGTGACTTAATTCATTTGAATTCCTTTTCTTTTTGATAACTCTGGCAGGGGAGTTATCAATTTTATTAATTTTTTCAAAGGATCACCTTCTGATTCCATTGATCTCTTCTGTTTTTATTTTTGTCTTTTAAGATTCTATATCATTTCTTTCTTTTCTAATCTTTATTATTTATATTCTTCCGCTTGCATTATGTTTCCTTTGTTGTTCTTTATCCAGCTCCTTTATGTATACGGTTAGATAGTTTGAGAGTTTTCTTGCTTTGCGAAGTCGGCCTTATTATAATTTACATTCCTCTTACGACTGCTTTAGCTGCATTCTAAATGTTTTGGACCACACTGAGGGGGGCACTTGGCGCGATGAGCACTGGGTGTTATGCTAAATGTTGGCAAATTTAACTCTAATTAATTAATTAATTAATTAATTAAAAATAAATAAATGTTTTGGACCATTGTGTTTTCATTTTAATTTGTTTCCTTGTATTTATTTCTTATTTGATTTCCTGATTGACTCACTCATTGTTTAGCAGAATGTTGTTTAACTTCCATGTATTTCTCGTATTTCTAATTTTTTTTCTTCTGGTTGACTTCAAGTTTCATAGCGTTATGGTCAGAAAATATGCAAGATTTGATCTCAAACTTTTTGTTCTTTCTGAGGTGTAATCTGTGACCTAATATGAAATCTACTGTGGAGCATATCCCATGTGCACTTGACAAGAATATATATTCTGAAGCTTTGGGATGGAATGTTCTGAATGTATCTGTTAAGCAGTTCTTGTCCAGTATGTCATTCAAAGCCATTGTTTCCTTATTGATTTTCTGTTTAGATGATCTATCCATTAATGAATATGGGCTGTTACTGCCCCTTAATATCATCAATGAGTTCCATTATGTTTGTTATTAACTGTATTTTATATTTGGGTGCTCCCATGTTGGATGCATTAATATTTACAATAGTTATATCTGTTAGATAGTTGCCTTTATTATGATATACTATGTTTCTTCATGTCTTGTTACAGTCTTTGGTTTAAAATTTGGATTATCCAGGGATGCCTGGGTGGCTCAGTGGTTGAGTGTCTGCCTTTTGGCTCAGGGTGTGATGCCACAGTCCTGGGATCGAGTCCCTTGTTGGGCTCTTCACAGGGAGTCTGCTTCTACCTCTGCCTATGTTTCTGGCCCCCTCTCTCACTCTGTCTCTCATAAATAAAATCTTTAAAAAATAAAAAATGAAATCTAGTTTATCCAGGCACCTGGGTGACTCAGTGGTTGAGCGTCTGCCTTTAGCTCAGATCGTGATCCCAGGGGTCCTGGGATTGAGTACCACATCAGGCTCGGGGCGAAGGAACTGCTTCTTCCTCTGCCTATGTCTCTACCTCTCTCTTTGTGTCTCTCATGAATAAATAAATAAATAAAACCTTAAAAAATAAAATCTAGTTTATCTGATACAAGCATGGTTACCTTTAAGTTCTTTTGAGGTCCATAATACATGTTTCTCTATCTACCCACTTTCAATGAGCAGGTTAAGTCTGCTATTTCTTTACTGATCTGTCTACACATTCTATTCATTATTGAAAGTGAAGTATTTATGTCTTCAACTATTACTATTTCTCTCTTCAGTTTTCTCCGCTTATAAAGCATAGTCTTCCATCTCTGCCCTTAATCTCACCTCCATCAAACTATTAATTATACCCACTTTTTCCTGTTCCTTCAGCCTCTCCTTATTTGACATTTCCATAAATATTTAATATTCTCAAGTCTTTTCCTTCAAAACAAGGTTTCATTTAACCTTATGTTCCTCTCATTATATTTATCCTTA